CTGGCGTGGTGGGCAAGCCAGGGCCTGGGGGACAGCGGTGGCGGCGAGCACGAGGGCCCAGCGCAGCGCAGCGCGGGGCGAGCGCCTCCGCCGTGGGCCGGTGGCTGGATCCGCCCCGCCCGGGGCACTGTTGCGCTGAGCTGGGCTCGGGGAGGTTGTTGCGCTGTCGCCCCCAGAGGCCAGGAAGGAAGTGGGTGATCTGGGGCCACCTATTAGTTTACTGGGGTGCTCACCAGGATCTGTTCACCAGAGCGCCCCAAGGAATGACAAGGTCAAACCGTCACAAACTCCTCCAAGACCATTTTAGGCTGGACATAAGGAAGAACTTCTTTCCTGTCCGAGCCCCCAAGGTCTGGAACAGCCTGCCGCCGGAGGTGGTTCAAGCACCCACATTGAACACCTTCAAGAGCAAACTGGATGCTCATCTTGCTGGGATCCTATGAACCCAGCTGACTTCCTGCCCTTTGGGTGGGGGGCTGGACTCGATGATCTTCCGAGGTCCCTTCCAGCCTGAATGTCTATGAAATCTGTGAAATCTATGGAAGAGCTCTTCAAATACTGTAGCCCCCTTTCCCCCCAGCAGGTGGATGGGCAGCACCTAGTCTGACCATGGGCTGGACGGCAGTTCGTATAGAGCGCCCGGGCCCAGCGCAGCAGCACCATCTGCCCGTGTGCAGGGCAGGAACCCAAGACGAGCCTGGCCCCCAACTTGGCCCCAGAGGAGTTGAGGGGGCATGACCTGGCCCTGGCTAGGCACGCGGAGTTGGGTTTTGGGGATTTGGCGAGGGAGAGGGTGGCTATAATGGCTGCTGCTCCCCAACTACCCCTTTTCCTGATCCCCAGAGAGCCCTGCAGGTCAGAGGTTGACGTGCACCGATACCTTGGTCCCATCAGATCGGCACCAATATAAAGAAAATTGACAGTATTGGCAGTCTGCCTTTTTTTGGCTGATGTGGCTGATAATGTGACTGATAAATTCCTTGTGCACGTGCACAGCCACAGCATAGCACACAGGTGGCCAGGAGTACAGCCTGCAGCATGGAGAGCAGCCGGGTCTGGCTGGTAAGTTTGTTGTGAGGGAAGGGGGGTGCAGATCAAGCCCCCAGCAGTGAGTTGGGGGGCTGGGGCAGGAGCAGGAGTTGCACAGCTGGGGTGGGGCACGGGACGGAGCTGTGACTGGCTCATCCGTGGGGAGGATGGGCGGCTCTTGCTGCTGTGCACACCCCGGGAGGGCATGGGGGGGTGTGCCCGCACATCTGCACGTGGGGCGAGGGTGGGTTGCTGCTGTAGGTTGGGGCTGGGGTGGTGCTGAGCTCTTCCCAGCAGGGGGGGTTGGACTGGTGCTGCACTCAGGGTGGGCGGCTGTGGTGCTGAGAGCGGGGTATTTGCGGGGGGGAGGGGGCTGCACCCTCCCAACCCCTCCTCCCAGCGCTGCCACCCCCAGTGCAGCCCGGCCCAGCCCCCTGCCGGGAAAAGCCCGGTGCCACCCTGTCCCATCCTAGAGAGGCAGCCCACCCTTGCCCAGCGCACAGATCTGGAGGCACACCCCCTGCATGGACTCCCGGGGTGCGCGCAGTGGCAGGAGCCGTGCCCCGTGGATGAGCTGCTCACAGTTCTGTCCTGCGCTCTGCCCTGACTGTGCAGCACCTGCCCCAGCCCCACTCCCTCCCTTACCACAGGGGCCTCAATCTGCCCTCGCTTTCTCTCCCCCTTCACCCCTTCCTCCACAACAGATTTACCAGCTGAATGCTGCTCTCCAAGCTGCCTGGCTGCATATTGGAAATCGGATCAGTATCAGCCGATATGGCTTGTTAAAAATCTGCCATTGGTATTGGCCAAAAAAATCTCTATCGGTGCGCCCCTAGTCAGAAGCGATGGTTCTGTGGGCCACGTTTGGCCAGCAGGCTGCAGGTTGGGCACTCCTGCTGTAGTCCATCTAGTTTCTCCTCCTTGGCTGTCTCCACAGTTGCTTTCCTTTGGAAACCATGACCTGCAAGGGTTTTTGCACAGTCTTTGTACAGACTGGTTAGAAAGAAACTGGTTACCAGATTTTAATATCACTTCACCTCACTTCACTTGCAGGAAGAACCCCTTGAAATAAAGTACTAGGGCAGAGAGTTCAAGCAAGCCTCTGGACCTGAAGTGAAGCGGGTTTTTCTTTATTTAAAAAAGTCTCCCCCAACCTCTCCCCCATTTTCAGTAACAGGGTTGTCTGAGTTCTCTCTTGCCGGTTTTTTGAGATGGGAATTTCAGCTTGTTTGTTACAAGGTTCAGCA